AGAAAGAAAGAAAGAAAGAAAGAAAGAAAGAAAGAAAGAAAGAAAGAGAGGGAGGGAGGGAGAGAGGGAGAGAGGAGGGAAGGTGGAAAGAGAGAAACAAAGGAAGGAAGAAAACAAAAGAAAGAAAGAAAGAAAGAAAGAAAGAAAGAAAGAAAGAAAGAAAGAAAGAAAGAAAGTAAGTTGTTTACTATTGGCTTGTTCAGCAATTCCTTGATTAGGGTATTATTTACTTGACTGTTGGTCTGATGTTAAACTCGGAGTTAGTCTATGCCTATCTGGGTGCTGACTGTTGGTGGGCAGGTGTTTTGGGTTTTGGGTTCCCTTTTTGGCTCGTTGATTGTCCCTTTTGCACAGTATGTAGGTGCTGTTTATGTCCATGTGTTTATTGATGGCTAATCTGTGAGAGTGCCAGGCCTCTAGAAATTCCCAAGAATTTTTGGGACTTGCTTGGTCTGCGATGGTCAATTTCCCAATTGCAACTCCAGTTAAGTCCCTCCATACGTTGTGAAACTAAAGAGTTTTCATCATGTTTTCTGACTGCTAATCAGTGTTCATGGGTGCCGGTCTTCTGCCTGTTTGTCTCATATAGTGGAATTTTCCCTCAGATAGAGATGAGGTTGAGTTACGGAGGAGGAGAGTTGAAATGAAGGTGATCGCAACAAGGCAAGAGACATAGGATGTCCTTGCCTAACGACCACAACCATGGCTACCCAAACTGTCGTTGCTTGGTCACGTGAGGTTTTGCTTCCCTGAGTGTGTTGTGGCCTGACAGCGGCCAGAGGAGCCGGCAGCAGATTCGGACAGTGAGGAGGTTCGGGAGGAACATGGACCAGTCCTGGAGTCTGGGGAAGGCTCTGACAAGTGCTCTGCATCAGAGCCAGAGATGGGGCCAGGGCCGTCCAACAGTGATCAGCTGCCTTTGGAGTCAGACATCAGAGGCAGAAGAACAGCTGGAGCCTGTTCCCAGTATGCGCATGCACAGAAGGGAACAGCTGAGGAACAAGGGCCGACTTGGGGAGTAAAGCCACAGGTGGCCGGTGAATGCCCTCTCCCATAGGGAATAAAAGAGGAGAGAAAGGGGTAGCGGGGCTTTGCAGGAAGACAATTAGTTCATTTCGGCATGCCTGCCAAATATTGCGGAGTCTGAAAGATATCGGCCTGTCCACGCTCTAAGCCTGATAAAAGGCTTGTATGTCAGGATTCCAGCCATCGCCCTAATTAAATCAGGATTCTCGAGCCAAACTTCAAAAAACTTCAAAGGATTTATTAGAGGCAACATACTGGCATTGCCCTGGATGAAGCCAACTCGGGCCTATGTAATTTACGTCCTCTGTGACCCTGTTTCCCCCCGCCTCCCTCTTAAGTGTCTCATAAAGCAGATTCTCCAATTGAGCATCTTCACAGGCTGGGTGTCATCCATCACGTTCTCCAATTAAATATATTCACGGGCAAAAGCTCTGGGATTTTAGTTTCAATCTTTTAAAGATAAGAGTTGGGATGTACTTCCGCTTTCAAACTGCCACACTGCTCTTCCAAATTTCCTTCTTCCCCCCGCCACTTCTTTTTTTTTTTAAAGGCAACTACTAAAACAGGCATAGGACTGTTTTATGAGTTGACAGCTGTCACTGGAAACTCTCTCGGAAGAATGTTAGCCGGGACTTTGTTGGAGAGGAAATTCACGGTCGATTAAATAAAAGGGGGTTTATCGGGACGAGGATTCGGCTCCGTGCTGCTGGGGGAAGCCTAGGTCAGAGAGTTGGAAATGCCAAACCCAACATCAGGTCATAAAGAGAGGACTGCCAGTGAGCTGAAGAGAACCCCGCCCCCGCGAGAACGTTGCCCTGCTACTCACAGACTTCCATTTCGATCCCTTCGCACCAGGCTTCGCCCACGACGTTCGTGGCTCTGCAGCTGTAGCGACCCGAATCTCCTTTGTGGACTTCTTCAAAGGCCTGGGCGAAGGAGAATCAGGGTGAGTGTGTTTCCTGCACTTGGGAGAATTTCAGGTCCTTAACAGAAGCCCCCTCCTCCCCCTCCCCATCTGCAGGAAACTTGTTCTCTTCTGGATCACGGCTTGGAAAGGAAGCACGTCGATGTATGTTTTGGAAGCTTCCTGTCCATTACGAAGAGAAAAGAAGGAAGGAAGGAAGGAAGGAAGGGAATGAAACAGACCTCCTTGTAGAAAAAGAAAGGAAAGGAAAGCTGAAGTCTGGATTTCTTTCTTTCTTTATTGCCATGCTAAGTTTCCAAAAGTTTCCTGCCAAGGCTGCCATATCTTCCTCCTTGACCTGTTTTCCTCTTTGGATTCCTTGTTGTACGGAATTGAAAGCCTATTTTAAAGTTGGGCTGTTGATTGACTGGACAGAATCATAGATATATAAGCCAGTCCTGGCCCTAATAGTCTTCGCCATCGGAATGGCAGAGTGCTTCTGTCACAGGGGTGGCCTTCCTCCTCTCCCCATTCTGATCAGTTAGAGGTTTAAATAAAAGCTTCAACCGAATACAAGAGTTTTATTAATAGAGGAGAATATTTGGTAGCTCAGGGTTGAAATGAGAGGTGTCCCTGGTGCTGTCTGGGCTTGGTTGCTTTCTTGCGGGCGTTTCACTGTCTGACTAGGAAACATCACCGGTGCTAGAAGGGAGTGTGGGTGTGGAGGAGGAGGGAGGAGGGGAAGGAAGGAAGGAAGGAAGGAAGGAAGGAAGGAAGGAAGGAAG